AAAGAGAGAAAGAGAAAGTAGAAGAAGAGTTACATAATTTCTTCATGATTCCAAGTCCTAAGCCTAATTCCTCTAGGATTAGTTCCTAAAATTCGTCCCCAATCTTCTCTCTCTAGCTCTCTAAAGGTGTGGAAAAAAAATGAGAAAAGATCCCAAAAATTTTGAGTTTCCGATTATTTATAACTTTCCCGCACTTCTGGCATAGCTACCTCTTGCCCTAAAAGTAGCTAGATGCAGGCTATTTCTTATGACAACACTCTGAAGTGACTACTTTTTGCCCTAAAAGTAGTTAGGCATAGGCTATTTTTGCAATATAGCTTTTGTAGTTGTCACTTTTGCTCCAAAAGTGGCTATGCGCATGACATTTCTCCCTAAAAGCCTTCAAAGTGATTACTTTCACCCTAAAATGTAGTTACACGCACCATGTCATTGCTTCAATCTCTTTGTAGTGTCTATTTTTTACCCTAAAAGTGGCTATCTGTATGATGATTCTTCCAACTAAGCTTTGTAGTTGCCACTCTTGGTCCCAAAAGTGGCTACACGCACCATGCACCTCCTAAAAAGTCTTCAAAGTGACTACTTTTGACATAGAAAGTAGCTACACATATGATACTTTACTTCATAAGTCTTTGGAATGCTTAATTTTTGTACTAAAAGTAGCTACGCCTAGTTCTCAATTGAATTTCAAACCTATAAAGTGTCCACCTTTTGCACCCATAATGATTACATTGGATCTCTTTGATCTCTTAAAGTTTCCAATTAATGTGTTTTCCTTGGAATCTTCTAAAAAACTAATTCAATCCACAACATTTATATAAAATTCTATTAAATCCACACAAATTAAATTACTAAAAATAAAATTTGAATTTATTGAACAATTATATATTTTTATGAGATTTTCATCTTTCAAACTACATTCTATTAAAAAGATCTTAGAAAACTAACTTAAAACTCATCAAAATCTGGATTCATCAATTACTCTCTAAACCTACTTCAAATTCGAGCTTGGATATTCTTCCTCTTGATCTCAAGTAAATTCCTTAGAGCTTAATCTTCTCACTTCACTTCTATTTCTCCATTTTTGTCTCTTCTCAAAAGTGCTTCACTTTAAATATATAGAAAGATCTTGATTTTTGGGTAATATTTTCTACCAAAATATTGCACCTTTTTATGAACCTCAAGGAGAACTTAGCCTTAGAGACATTGTCTCTCAACTCTTTGATTTCAAGAGACCTATTTTCAGGTAAGAGGAGTTGATTCTAACCCTAACTCCTAATTATATGTTTTTGGAGATCATTGGAGATCATTGGTAAAGATGACGAGCTTCCCTTTGGAGTTCGAGCAAGTGATTGAGCACCCCTTGGAGAACGATAACTCTTTTTATCTTTTTTTCTTTTGGGTTTCTCTTGTTTGAATTCTCCTTTGTGTTTATGAATTTTTTTATTACATTTTCTATTGTTTACTTTGTTATGGGTGACTAAAACCATATGCCCTAGGCTCTTCGCATCCTATTTCTGTCAAAATCTCTTCTGCGTCTTTTAAATTACTTTTTGGATTTAAATTATTTGTGATTTTTAATTCATTACACACCCTTTTTGTTTAAACAATTGAATCAAGGTATTCTTGGTAATTGAAAATGATCTCTGTAGGATGATAACTTGGAAACTTAATTCTAAAACCCTTTATTACTTTTCAACAGGTACACTTGCCCATGAACAAGTTTTTGGCACCATTGCTAGGGATTAGTTTTCAATATCAAAGAAAATTGAGTATTTGATTGATTTAAACATATTTATTCTAATTTTCTTTTATGCTCACTTGTTCTAAACCTATTGCAGAGCTTGCTTTTGTCTGAAAATCGAAAAGACTGCACGTACGCTAAGGAAAGAGTGTAGAGAAAAGAAAAAGATGGCGAAAAAATGACCGATCTTAGAGTACATGACAGCCACTGCTGAGGGTAATGTTGGGGGCATTGTAGCATCTGACATAGAGCCCAACAATTTTGAATTAATGTTAGCCTTGATCAGTCTAGTATAGAACTCCATACTATTTTTGAGGTGACCTGACGAAGACCCCATCTTCATCTGAAAAAGTTCCTCTGACTCATTGACACCATCGAATACAACAATGTCACCAAAGATGATATAAGGCTTTGCCTCTTTCCATTCTCTGTCATGAAAACGTTAATGCATGGTTCTCTATACTCCTATAAATTCAATTACAACGTAGGATGGCCTATGTAACACCCTCAATTTTTGGTGCCCTTGGATGGGAAAAAAAGGAACTTTGGTGCAGGGTTTCTCACTCAAGCGCGATAGAGCTTTTTAAAAGAGGGCGTTCTAAACAGGCAAGAATGTTCTTGCTTAAGGGAAAATAGCACAAAAAAAAAAAGAGTAGTTTCACTGTTTGGTTCACTCAGGCGAGGAAGGCTTGCCTAGGCGAGGGTAGAGCTCGCTCAAGCGAGAATCTGCTCGCTTAAGCGAGATCACACGAGTTTGGAGGGGTATTTAAGGAACCCCAACCCCAAAAATATTCGTTTTCTCACCAGACAACCTTCTCTCTTCATTTTTCTCTATTCTCTCTATCCTCTCTCAAGAGAAGCTCTACCAAACTCTGAATCTCTTCTAGATTCAAGGTCAAACATTTATTCCATTCAAAACCAAGTATGTTTCTCGGAGCTCAGATCTCTAGCTTTATCTCTTTTCTTTGGTTATCTCTTTGTCAATAGGTGTTTACCTTGTAATAATTAGGGAAATCTTTAATTTCGGACAAAATCTTCCATCAGAAGTGTTGTACCTTTGCTTTGGACCTTAAGAAGGATTTGATAGTAGAGACTCATTTACAGGTAAGCGGAGTAGATCCCGAACTCTAACTATTATTCTATTTCTTGGCTTATTTAATACTTTTGTGCTAAATAGTAAAGCCTTTATTAATCGAGATCTTTGGAACATAAAAGCGTGATGATTTATTTTTGAACAAACCTGGCTAGGATTTTGTAACAGAAATTAGAAGTAAAACAAGTTTTTAAGAAAGTTTATGACCTTAATGTTAACATATGCGTATAATTATTGCTGGGTTATGATTTTAAATAATAGATGATAAAATGTGTTGAACCCCAGGATAGAAGATTTTATAAAAGGCCAAGGAGTGTAATCTCCGACAAATTTTTCTTCCGTGATTTAGCTTAATGTGTGTTAAAATGCACAACTGGTCTGAGTCTGAGGGTGATCGACCTTCGACACACTTTATTGATGTGAAATAGATGGATTGATGATTAATATTGAAATTTATAGTGTAATGAATGTGAATTCTTGTTTGATAACTGATGAATGTGAAAGTTTGTGAATTTGTGTTCTCGTGGAAGATATTTGATTGTTTTGAATGATAATGTTTTATTAGTAAGAATTCATGAATAAAAAGGGTGACGTGAATAAGTGAGCATATTAAATTAAAGTTATTTTGTGTTATCAATGTTAAAAGGAAATATTGATGAATTATGAGAAATATGAAATTCTAAAATGATGATGAGATATGTGTCATATGAAATGATGAAGTGCTGATAAATGAATTTCAATGAGGAAGATTAGGAAATTGAATGTACATGAAATATTAAGAAAGTAGGGTCATGAGAAATGTTGAGACCCTGTATAGATAGTACAAAGATACACTAGGGGTATAGAGTCCAGAGAAGATTTGGAAAATCTTGGAGAAATGAGGGTGGTGAATGCTAATTGTAAGAGAGTGCAAAATGATTTGTTGAAAAGAAAAAAATATTTACAGATCACACACTCATCTCTTGACAAGACTCCTAACTATACCTTTGCTAAAAGGGCCCGGAGGAACACACATTGTATTCGTGTTGTTGCGGCTAACTAACAGCTATCTATATGTATGGAAGACCTCAAGGGATCCCAAAAGCAATGAATGTGAAATTATGAGATGTGTGTCTGTAATAAGTGAATCATAACAGATTAATCAGTGTAACTATAGTACAAGTATTGTAATACATCGATGAGTGTAATTATAAATTTATAATGCATGTATCATTATGCATTAATTAATATGGTTGTAATGCGCTTATTATAACATACTGCTCGATATGAAATGGATGAAGTGTTGTAGACTTAATGAATGTTTGATGTAATAATGATGTGATACAAGAATCTGTTGATTTGCTGTAATATTCGTAAATGTAATGTATGAATTAATATTATATTAGTACATACCGTATAATTTTTTGGGAAATAACGAATTTGTTGCTGTCATGTTTTTATTAGTTTAGTATTGAAACTAGTCTTACTTATTATGTTGGCACATATTTATGTCTCATATGTAAATTGTGGATAATACAAAAAAAAAATTAATAAATTGCTTAAAAGGGATTACTCACCCTTACAACCATTTTTCAGGAATTGAAGTGAAGGATGGTCTGTTCTAGGATCATATTTTCAGTAATGTTACAAGGAAGGATATGTTCTGTAGGCTTGAAACTAAACTAAGACTATTAAAAGTTTTAATTAAAGTTTAGTTAAAAATTAGAATTTGTGATATGTAAATAACATATGATTAACTTAGACATTTGAAAGGTTTGATAAGAATTATTGTAAAATAATGATTTGATTATATTTGTAATACTCCATAGTTGGTTCTATTTAATATTTGTTTTATATATTAAATTTGGATTGCGAAAAATAAAGATATTTCTAATGTTTTGTAAAGTATCGCAAAAGGATATATTTACAAGAAAGTTACAATGTTATTGCATCTTTATGTTACTCGTTTTATCTTATAAATTGATTTTTATTTCTTTTTAATATTTATGATTTAAATAGTAAAAATAGTAAAAATATGGCAAATATGTTCAATGGAAGAAAAGTTCAAATTTTCTCACATATTTATATTTTAGGAATTAAATAAAATTAATTTATTCTTTTGCTTTCTAATAAATTATTATTTATTTTGAGAATTCAAAAAGTAGGTTGCTACAGCCTAACACAACAATTCTTGGCCAAATATTTCTAATTTTTAACAAAATGAGTCTGAATCTCTATTTGAGATGTGGAAGCGCTTTGGAGAACTCTAGAGGAGATGTCCACATCACGGTTTCCTTATGTGGAAGCAGATGTAGATTTTTTATGTTGGACTCTCATATTTCAATAGAGCCACAGTTGATGTAGCTGCTAGAGGATCCTTCCTATGTAAGGGGCCAACTACGACCTATACATTAATAGAAAAGATAGCATCCAGCAAATTTAAATGACATACTGACAATCAAAGAAGCAAAACGAAGGAAATTTCTCTAATCTATCAGAAAAAAATAGTGACTCAATAACAAATAGGTTGGAAACTCTGTCAAAACAAATGAAATTCTTGTTAAGAGCACAAGATCCATCAGCAATGCCTCCAGAGATTGAGAATGCTAACTTCTTGGGGAATAACTATAATTCGACATGGTGTAGTAAACCCACAAATTTATGGAAGAATAGCCAAGGAGGCCAAAATTCAAACATTTACCGCCCTCCCTATATGCAATCTCAAGGAGAAAGGCTGGAAAGGAGAGAGCCCTCAACCTCTCAATAGGAGCAAAGAATTTCAAAGCTTGAATATCAAATGGAATAACAAAGCCTCTAGATAAAGCAACAAGCTCAAGCAATGGGCAAAATTTTTTCAAAAATAAGCTCTGGCACATTTGAGATAAAATTACAACTAGGACAACTTACAAGTTTGTTGACTCAAAGAACGTTAGGAACACTGCCTACCCAACCTGAGCTTAACCCTAGGGAACATGTCAAGGCAATCACATTGAGAAATGAGAAGACGTTGTTTGAAAATGTACTAAAGTCACAATATAGAGTTGTAAGCATGCCCGTGCTCACAGAGCGGCAAGCCCATGCTAAAATTACAAGAAGCACGACCATGCTTCGCTGATGTGCACACCGGATTCACAAGCACGCACATGCTCACTCATATGTGATGAATCCATATTTTACTAGTATTTTACAATAGTTTTTAGTGCAATTAATAAAGAAAACATACTAGAAATAGTAGAAAACCCTTAAAAAAATAATAAAATGTTGCATGTCACTTTTAAACATAGTTATTTTAAAATTCATTGATTTTCTATGTAAAAAGTGACATTTCAAGTATGCTTTTGTAGGGAATTCTGAGCTAAGTTCATGAGGATTGAATGATCAAGGAAAAATAGAAGAAAAGTAGCAAAAATTGGAGGAAAGAAGTTGATAATTGAAAAAAGCCTCTAAGTGATCACTTTCACCAGCGAAAGTGATCATGAACTTCTGCGTAATCACTTTTGCTGGCAAAAGTGATCGTTCCAAAGAGGTTGCAATGAGAAGAGCTTCTGCGTGATCACTTTTTCTGGAAAAAATGAGCATTCCAGAGAGTCCTCCAAGAAGAGTAGCTGCGCGTGTTCACTATTATCAGCAAAAGTGAACACGCGCAAGAAAGCAGCTTCTGCGTGTTTACTATTTCCAGCAAAAGTGAACACGCGCATGACATTAGCAAAGGAAGCTTCTGCGTGGCTACTATTTTCAACAAAAGTGAACACTTTGAAGTGCGCATGGCTACTATCACCAGCAAAAGTGAACACGCGCAAGTGGAAATAAAGAATTAGCCTCTGCGTGATTACTATTGCTGGAAAAAGTGATCACGCCAGCAGAGCGGGAATTCTATAAAAGGCAGTTTAGCTCAGGAATTTTGTAGTTTTTTGTTCATTTTTTATTTTCCATTTGTTTTTGTTGTTGAGAGAGTCAGAGAGGGAGATTGAGGACGAACACCAAGCTTCATTTCTTGAGGGATCAGATTGGAGATTGGCTTGAAGATGTTTCTTCTTTGTTCATTCTCTTCTCCTCTTCTCTTCTCTTCTCTTTTTGTAATGTTTGCTTAAACTCTTTGTGGTTAGGAACTGTGAATCTGAAATGGAAATGTTGAATTGATTTTGGATCTAAACTTTGAGTTTTGGATTGGATTGAGTGATTGATTCTGCTGTTAAAGTAGTGATTGAATGGAAATTTGATCAACTAATCATAGAGGAACTCTTATCAATGAGAATTGAATTTGTTTCTCAGATCTGAATTAATTGCCAAGGTTATTGGTTTCTTAGGGATAAGATATCTTAATCTTGCAATCTTTTGGTTTCTCAAACTTAATGCAGCATTTGATTGGATTAGATCTAAGGGATTAGAGTGATTTGATTAGATGCTAGATTCACTGAGGCAAGGGATTGTCCTTTGATTATTATAACGTGAAACTGATTGTCATTCCATCTAAATGCTTGAAAGTTCAGAATTTTATTGATTCAATGTTGAAGTTTTGGTGAAACAATTTCCTAACTACTCTTTCTACATCTGTTTACTATATACTTTTGTACTAACTGTTCTGTTTTACTTTCTAATTTCATTTTTGATACATTCATACCAATTCCATCTGAAATTTGTAAAGCTCAACTAATTGTGATCTTGTGAAGTAGTAATTGAGAACTTTATTCCCTGAGGACAATACTTGGAACTCAATTTTTTTTATAACTTGCTACAACAACACTAGTACACTTGCTAGTCAGTTTACCTTCATTGCAACAACAGTTGTAAAAACTGTGACAATATGCATGGCCCTGTTGACATCGCAGAGATAGAGCAAGAGAAGAAAGAAGAGCCACCTATGACATCCGAGACTCAGAAACTTCAAATCTCTTTTTTGCAAAGGTTGAGGAACAATCAGAAAGACTCGTAGTTCAACAAATTTCATGAAATCTTGAAGAAGTTGCACATTAACATACTCTTTGTGAAAGCCATATCTCACATGCCCAAATACGCTAAGTTCCTAAAGGAGATATTGAGCAACAAGAGTAGGCTAGAGGAATTCGAAACTGTGACGCTTAATGAGGAATGTTTTGCAATCCTTTTGAAAAAGCTACCCCCAAAACTCAAAGACCTAGGGAGTTTTACTATTCCTTGTACTATAGGTAGCTCTCTTTTTTATAAAGCCCTATGTGATTTAGGGGCTAGCATAAATCTAATGCCCCTCTCTGTTTTTAGAAGGTTGGTATGCAATAATCCAAACCTACTTCTATTTCTTTGCGGTTAGTAGATCGATCTATCACTTACCTAAGGGGTATAGTAGAAGACATCTTGGTAAAGGTGGACAAGTTCATCTTCCCTGCAAATTTTATTGTATTAGACATGGAGGAGGACAATGAGGTTGCCATTATCTTGGGGAGACCATTCTTAGCCATAGGGAAGACCATTATAGACATCCAACAAGGGAAGCTCACATTGAGGCTAAACGACGAGGAAGTTGTTTCTAAAGTTTTTAATTCTCTTAAACACCCCTTTAGTTTTGCTCTTGTAGTTTTACTTCTGTGAATGACCTTTCTTTCTCTTTAGACCATCACAGTTAATAGACCGGTTAAGGGATGATGTTCTAGAAAAAAATCCTCACACCTAGACATTTTGAAAGCGGGAATCAAAGTCAGTGTTTGGCACCTAGGCATTTTGAAAGCTTGGGAACATGAGACATTCAAATTCCTAAATCATCCATTGAAGAACCTCAAGAATTATAGTTCAAATCCCTCCTCTTTAATCTTAAATATGCTTTTCTATCTCTTCCCTCTTTTCTTCTTGTAATAATATCTTCTAATTTGACAGGTATTATAGAGGAGAAATTGATAAGAGTCTTGAGGGAGAACAAGGAAGCCTTTGGGTGGAGCATTCATAACATCAAAGGACTTAGCCCTTTCTATTTGTGCCCATCAAATTCACTTGGAGGAGGAATTCAAGCCTAATGTTCAACCTCAAAGAAGACTTAACCCCAGTCTAAAGGAAGTGGTGAAAAATGAGGTAATTAAGTTATTGGATGCTAGTATTATTTCTCTATTTCTGATAGCCCTTGGGTGAGTCTTGTGCAGGTTGTACCAAAGAAATGAGAAACCATAGTAATGGAAAATGAGCAATAGGAACTTATTGTCTTAAGGAGGGTAACTAGGTAGCGTATATGCATGGATTACAGGAAACTCAATAAAGCCACCAGAAAGACCACTCGAAAAAACCACCCAGGAAGACCACTTCTCTGTTCCCTTTATTGCTCAAATGTTAGAAAAATTAGTTGGGTATGAATTTTATTGTTATTTGGATGGTTATTCGGGCTATATGCAAATACCTATAGCACTAGAGGACCAAGCGAAGACTACTTGTACATGCCTTTATGGTACGTTTGCGTATAAACGAATGTTGTTTGGTTTGTGTAATACCCCGCTACATTTTAGAGATGTATGATGGCCTTATTTTTTGATTTATTAGAAAATTGTATTGAGATTTTTATGGATGATTTTTCTATTTATGACAACACTTTTGATAATTGTTTGCATAGCCTTGATTTAGTTTTACAAAGATGTAAAAAGGATAATTTAAATTTAAATTGAGAAAAATATCAGTTTATGGTTAATGAGTGCATTGTTTTTGGGGGATAAAGTTTCTAGTAGGGGTATAGAGGTAGACCTTGCTAAGTTAGAGGTTATTGCTAAACTTCCCCCTCCACATGTGTTAAATTTATTAGGAGCTTCTTGGGGTATGTGGGGTTTTGTAGAAGTTTTATTAAAGATTTTTCAAAAGCAGCAAAACCTGTCACGACCCCTTTTATAAGGAACCGAGAACATTGTTTCTACACCACATACTTATTTAAAAATAAATAAATAATAGAGAATATAAGTATAAAATTCACTTCTCATTCAAAATAAAATAAAGTCTCTTCAACAAATATCCAACAGAACAACATAATATTACATTTAATTCATAATATTCAAAATACTCAAAATCATACTACCTAGCTCCCTCTACATGAGGTCTCAAAATATAAGGAAAAAGGACTTTGATGCAATATTACTTGACTCCAGCTTCTAACATTTCTTCACTGGCCCCTCATCCTGTGAAGTAGATGTAACACCTGCTACATCTGCTCATGTACCACCGTACGATCATCCCAGTACACACGCACACAATGACATAGAAAGAAATGCAAGGGTGAGCTTACAAAAATAAACTAAAATCGTATATATATATAACAATACATTACTCACAGCAATAACCCCACGCATTACCATCCCCTCTAATGCACAACATGAAAACGGTTTCCAACTAGTTTCACAACCTAAGTAATCCAGAAGGAACTGAGCTAGTTCGGGAGCGACTGATTTTAGTATCTGGATCCAGACAGCACAGCACAGCAGCTCAGCATGAACTTACCGTTACACGTCTACCCACCTAAACATGTAACTCAGCTCTATAATGATGCAAAACATATATCTCAACATGATGCACACTGCTAAAATTATTTTAACAGCTCAGCTAAGACAAGTTTATAATAGATCAGCCAAAATCTCAGCATTTTAAATCAATTAACAGCAGTTACAGCTTAGAAAATAGCTTTTATCCAATAGATCTAACAAAATCATATCAAAACATCTTGAAATAGTATATTAAACCGTTCAAAATGTAGTTCATAGGCTAAAGTAAGCTCCTCTTTCCTCAGAACGATGATTCACACTAGATCTATCGAATATTACTTGTTTTATAGCAAGATTCACCGAAAATTTGGCTTTAGAACAAAGTTTCTCCTAAGAACACCATGAACTTCTATGAGAAAGAGAAGGACAAGAGAAACGAACGGTAAATCTAACTTCAAACTTAAAGAAACTTACTTTAAATCCCTTAGAACGGACCCAAAATCACAGATCTGGAGAGAAATCTAAGTTTAAGAGGGTTTAGTATGAGAGAAAATGGTAGTATATGGCCTTGGAACCTTTGAGAACCTTATATAGGAGTAAAGAAATAAAAATTTCGTGTGGAGCCCCTTTTTTATAGAAATTTTTTGAAATTTACTGTTAATCGTCGGAAACACTGTTCATCGCCTTACTGTTCATGCCGGAAATACTATTTAGGATACTATTCACACCAGAAACACTGTGCACACGTACTGTACCAGCACTGTACGCTTATGTGACGTCACTAATGACGTTAGCAGTCACTATACATACGCAATTTTTACTGTTCATACGCGGTTTGTGTGTGGTTTTACACATTTACTGTTCATTAACACTGTTCATACGATACTGTTCATTTTTTTTTTTTAATAATTCCAAACTCTATCTAAATCTATTCCAATACCAAATAATCCGTCAATTAACATTTAACAAGTATAAAATATTATAGATTACTCAATAATAAATCACAAGCCTGACAATTCTCCCCCCGAAAATAAATTTTCGTCCTCAAAAATTTCATCCCTCAGAGAAAAGATGAGGGTACAACTCTCTCATTCTTTCCTCTAACTCCCATTTGGCATCACTAGTTACTGGATCCCAAACAACCTTTACTAACTGAATAGACTTGCCTCTAAGTTCCTTAACTCTAGTATCCTCAATACGAGCAGCTGGGACCTCCACAGAAAAATCATCTCGTAACTCTACAACATCAGGCTCGATTACATGAGACGAATTAGGAACATACTTTCTTAGCTGCGACACATGGAAAACATTATGTAGTCCTAATAACTGAGGTGGTAACGCTAATTTATAGGCTAATGGTCCTCTACGATGTAATATCTGATACGGTCCTATGAACTTAGGCGTTAACTTTTTGGCTCTTAAGGCTCGCCCCACACCTGTAGTGCGTGATATTCTCAAGAATACGTGATCACCAACCTCAAATTCTAGGGATCTTCTGCGTCGGTCAACATAAGATTTCTGTCGACTCTGGGTAGCTCTCAGCTTTTCTCTAATAAGTTCAATTTTCTTCTTAGTTTCTTGTAGCATTTCAGGTCCAACCATCAAATATACTCCATCTTGAAACCAACAGATAGGGGTTTTACACCTTCTGCCATATAGAGCCTCAAATGGTGCCATATCTATACTCGAATGATAGCTATTATTATAAGTGAATTCTACCAAAGGAAGCATATCCTTCCAATTACTCCTCTGTTCTACAATACAAGTCCGCAATAAGTCTTCTAAGGTTTGAATAGTACGTTCAGATTGACCATCTGTCTGCGGATGATATGCAGAACTCAACCTCAACTGTGTGCCCATAGCTTCTTGGAAACTCTGCCAAAACTGGGAAGTGAATCGAGGATTCCTATCAGAGATAATACTAGAAGGTACTCCATGTAACCTGACAATCTATCTAATATACAATTCTGTTAATTTCTCCAAGCTAAAGGTCATGTTAATTGGCAAGAAATGCGCACTCTTGGTTAGCCTATCAACTATGACCCACACGGCATCATGATTTTTAACTGTTCTAGGTAGATGAGACACAAAATCCATAGTCACAGGGTCCCACTTCCACTCTGGAATTTCCATCGTCTGCAACTCTCTTGGAGGGCTCTGGTGCTCCGCTTTTGCCTTCTGGCAAGTCAAATAGGCTTTAACAAACTTAGCTATCTCTCACATCATACCTGGCCACCAAAATATCTGCTTTAAATCTTGATACATCTTGGTAACACCAGGATGAATGTTGAGACTACCCTTATGTCCTTCTTCTAGAATTGCTCTCTTTAATTCAGTATCTCTAGGGACACAAACTCGACCTTGGCATCTGAGAATACCATAAGCACCTTTACTAAAACCCTTTGTCTTATTTGTCCCCAAGAGAAATACAATCCGACATAACATCGGATACCACAGTTGTTTGTCTTTAATTTCCTGTAAGAAAGTATTAGTCACCACAATTCGGCTGCAACTAATCTTTTCAGGTGATAAGTCTATATGTATGTTCAGGTCTCGGAATTGTTCTACCAAAAGGGTTTCACTAACTCTTAAGGAGAATGCCTGAACCACATTCCTACTTAATGCATCGGCCACCACGTTAGCTTTTCCTGGATGGTATTGGAGCTGAAAATCATAATCCTTAAGGAATTCCACCCAACGCCTCTGCCTCATATTTAACTCTCGCTGATCAAATAAATACTTCAGACTCTTGTGATCACTATACACATCAAACTGAGCTCCATAAAGATAGTGCTGCCACACCTTCAGAGCAAAGACTACAATAGCTAACTCAAGGTCATGAATCGGGTAATTTCACTCATGAGTTCGCAATTGACGAGATGCATAAGCTACTACTCTCTTATCTTGCATCAACACACATCCCAATCCCTGATGGGAAGCATCACAGTACACCTCAAACGGTCGACTAGTATCAGGGAGAATCAACACCGGCGAGGAAGTTAGTCTCTGCTTCAACTCATTAAAGCTTTGCTCACATTCCTCAATCCATACAAAAGGTTGATCACGGCGAGTTAACCGGGTCAATGGTGCAGCTATCTTCGTAAATCCCTCTATAAATCTCCGGTAGTAACCTGCTAGGCCCACAAAACTACGAATCTCTGTGGCAATCTCCTGCCGTTCCCACTGCAACACCGCTTCAACTTTGAAAGGATCAACTGCAATTCCCTTAGCTGAAATAACATGACCAAGGAACTTCACTTCCTCTAGCCAAAACTCACACTTAGACAATTTAGCATACAACTGTTTCTCCCTTAAAACACTAAGTACAATCCTCAAATGCTCTGCATGTTCCTCTGACGAACTGGAATAAATCAAAATATCATCAATAAAGACTACCACAAATCGATCTAGGAAAGGTGTAAAGATCCGATTCATGTAATCCATAAACACAGTTGGAGCAGTCTTAGTAATATCTTCATCCTTCACTCGGATCTGATGGTACCCAGACTTCAAATCAATCTTAGAGAATACCTTAGCACCGTTCAGCTGGTCCATCAAATCATCGATCCGCGGCAACGGGTACTTATTCTTAATTGTCAACTTATTCAACTTGCGATAATCAACACATAATTTAGAACTTCCATTTTTCTTTTTCACCAAGAGAACTGGTACTCCCCAAGGCGATACACTTGGCCTAATTATCTGTTTCCGCATTAGATCCTCAATCTGCTCCTTAAGCTCCATCAACTCTTTCGGCGCCATTCTGTAAGGTGCTACAGACACTGGCTCAGCTCTAGGAATCAAATCTATGGCAAACTCCACCTCTCTACGTGGAGGTATTCCAGGAATATCCTCTAGAAAAATCTCAGAACTCCCAACAAAACAAAACAAGATACTCCTTCACCTAAGGATGTTTCTACTTAGCGAGTAGAAATCAATTCCACGCAGCCTTGCTGCTCAGGAAAGATTAAACACCTTCGGCCATAATCAATTAGCACACGATTGACAGTTAGCAAATCTATACCCAAGATTACATCTAACCCTGACATCGGGATACAAATAAGATTTACTTTGTACCTTCGTCCCTCAATTACTATGGGACACCTAACACAAAACGTCGAAGTCTTAATCGAACTTAAAGTAGGTGTCGATACTACCAATTCACATCCTACATCGCTCACCGGTAACCCTAAGTTTCTCACACAAATGTCCGCAATAAAAGAGTGCGTGGCTCTATAATCAAACAATACAGAAAGAGAAGTACCTGCCACTACCGCTATCCCTTGAATGAGATCCGTCGCCTGGGCTGCCTCTGATGCAGAAGTAGTGAATACACGTCCCTTTACTCTTGATCTGGTTGTCGTCGGAGCTCTAGCCGCTTTAGGCCTCACAGCGTGTAATGCGCTAGCAAAAGACGAAACTGCCCTAATAGGCATAGGACAGTCTCTAGCAAAGTGCCCTGGCTGTTGGCACGAGAAGCAAACTCTGACATCAGCCTGTGGGCACTGGCTCAGATAGTGTGGCCCACCACACCTGAAACATCTGACAATTTACGGCACTAAGGCTCTAGGAGCAGAAGATGTTGCTCCCCTAGGCTGAAATGCAGAAGTAGCAGTCCCTACTGGCACTAGGGCTGATGATGGAACAAATTTCGCTACTCGTTATGCACAAAGATTGTCGTTAATCCTCATCAAATATGCAAAGAAATGAATGCAATACTAGGGTGTTGTCCTAGGTCGTCTCCAAGGAATTTTTGGTTGGGAACATACATCGAACAAGTGTAAACATAGATTTTAAAGCAAGTAAATTGGGGGAAGGTTTGTCAATTTCCAGATTTTAATCAAGAGCAAAATGTAAACTAGTGAAATTTAATCAATTAAGACCCTAGTCAATCAATGAGTTCTATCCCTATTCTTTCAAATGATTCAATAATCCCCTTTTCTTCCTTTGAATTAAGTTAATCTAACAAGCGAAAATTAACTTTAGCATCCCAATTAAAATTAAGCATCTTAATGGGCTCCAATCTCTATCCCTAAGATTAAACAATCTCAAAGATTAATCAAAATTAAGCAATTTTGGATTAAAATTTCGTTTGGGTAATTTAGGGTTCATTAAGCAATGTTTCCCTCATGTAAATTTCATTTCATTCAGAGATTGGGGTTAATAAATCTAAGGAAAGAAAGAGTAATATTGCCATTAAACCCAAGAATTCAAGAACCATGTGAGTTGACTAGGAATTACAAGAAAATTTAGCCCTCCATATGGATGGGCTTCACAAATGAAAGAAGGGAATGTAGAAACGTAAGCAACATTAATGTAAAATCAATGAGAATCAAAGGGAAATTGGAAAATAAAACCTATAATGGATCCCTGGCTGTCACCCAAGGCTCCAAAGCTCTGGAAAGAAAAATGTCCTAATTTAGCAAAGGGAATGAAAGAAAAATTAAAATCCAAGCTCTCGGACCCTAATTCCTAAAATCTATTTATAGTGGAGGACATGTCAGCAAAGTGCCCACTTTTGCCTTTAAAAGTGTCCACTTTGACTCTTGAGAGTGTCCACGCGCAAATACGTTGGGTTGCAAGTTCTCTGGAGTTGCCACTTTTCATGCTGAAAGTAGCTACTTTGGATGCACGTAGCCACTATGAAACATAATAGTGTCCACGCGCAAAGTGCTTCTCAAGTGGCGTCCCTAGAACTTTCTGGAGTTGCTACTATGAAGGTTGAAAGTGGCTACTTTGGATGCGCGTAGCCACTATGAAAGGCAATAGTGTCCAGGCGCAAATTGCTTCCCAAATGGCGTCCCTGGAGCTTTCTGGAGTTGCTACTATGAAGGTTGAAAGTAGATACTTTGGACCCTTTAATGCCCAGACTTGCTGTAGTTGTTACTTTTGCTCTTGAAAGTGGCTACTTTGGGGTCAACTTTCATCCAAGGGCCAAGATTTCTCAAAATTAGCTTGGGGATTCTGCAAAATTATCAAGATAATTAAAATTGCAATCTATATCTATGTAATTAAATGCAAATTAACCAAAAATTAATAAACCTATGATATTTACTCAAAATGTGATTTTTGTATTATTTACACTATCTAAGTCCATTTTTTCTACCAAGGAGCACCAAAAAGGCAAGTAAAAATATAATAAAAAGTGGATTCATCAGCTGATACTTCCAATCTCCTCGATTGAGATGGTCGAGACTATTGTTGGTGTAGCGACCGACTGTAGGGGCCCTTCTTAGCACCCTTACTTCCATTACCATAGCTACTAGCGGCTCTACTAGATGGAGCCTTCCCAACTCCACCAACATCCTCTGCATTAAGACTTTCTATCATGGTGGCTTGATCCACCAAGTCAGCAAATTCTGTGATCTTGAGTGGGATCAAAATCCTCTTTATGTCAGTTCTTAGCCCGTCTGAAAACCTCTGACATCTCCATTCTACCGAGGTCGGGTGAGAATAAAATCCGTAGAGCCGTTCAAACTGTATTGCATACTCATAGACTGATGAGTTTCCCTGCACCAAGTTTAGAAACTCCCGCTCCTTGGCAACACGAACATGAGCAGGGAAAAACTTTCCCAGAAAACTACTTCTAAATACAGCCCAAGTGATGACCTCACCTCAAGCCTCCAACATAGCACGAGCTTCGTGTCACCACATCTCTACATTCCCTGTCAGCATATACGTAGCATATAACACCTTCCTCTCCTCGGCGCAACCCATGGTTAGGAAGATCTTCTCAATCCCCCTGATCCAGAGTTCAGCAGCATCTGGTCCATCCACCCCTGTGAATTGAAGAGGATTGTTCTTCCTGAACTCTGACAACCCTTGGTATTCAGGAGGAGGTGCAGCTGAGGCAGTAGCTGCTGCTGCCTGTGCTGCAGCAGCGGCTTGGTTTGCAGCTTGCTGCTGCTGAATCATATCTAGACTGTGTCTCACAGTGGCTGCCATGGCCTGCATGGCGTGAGCCATTTGGTTCACGTCAGCAAGAGGAGGGTTTGCAGCATATCTTCTTGGTCTAGCCATCCTAATATATAGACTAGCTTAGATCACTAACGTTTAACACTTTCAGCAATACCACAACATAGCTATATTCACAGATTCAGCTTATAGCGATATATTCATATTTAGTATATCATAACAATTTAATCAATTTAGCACTGAGCATAACATCATATCAGCATTCACACAGCATAGCAAACACACTTATCTCAGCAATCATTTACAACTTAGCTTAACAACCTCTTATTCACGCAGTACGACTCGCCTATAGCTCACCCAAGTATCATATACCAAGTTTCCTACATCTGTCATGTCTGAGAACCAAGGTGATTAAGCTCGTTCCCTCACAACTTGATGAATAGAAATTATGATATATGATTCACAGCTAAAACTCACATGTCTAATATGCACAACTGATGCCTAACAACCTCACCTCATAGGTTTACCTAGACCATGCTCTGATACCAATAAAATGTCACGACCCCTTTTTATAAGAAACCGAGAACATTGTTTCTACATCACATACTTATTTAAGATAAATAAATTATAAAGAATATAAGTATAAAAATTCACTTCTCATTCAAAATAAAACAAAGTTTCTTACGACAAATATCCAATAGAACAACATAATATTACATTTCGTTCATAATAATCAAAATACCCAAAATTATACTACGTAGCTCCCCTAAATGAGGTCTCAAAATATAAGGAAAAAAGACTTTAAAGCAAAATTACTCGACTCTATCTTCTAACATTTCTCCACTGGCCCCTCAGCCTGTGAAGTAGATGTAACACCTGCTACATCTGCTCACGTACCACCATACGATCATCGCAGTACACACACAACGACATAGAAAGAAATGCAAGGGTGAACTTACAAAATAAAATAAAATCATATATATATATATATAACAAAACCTTACTCACAACAACAATCCCATGCATTATCAGCCCATCTAATGCACAGCATGAAAACGGTTTCCAACTGGTTTCACAGCCTAAGTAATCCATAAGGAACCGAGCCCGTCCGGGAGTGACCCATTCCGGTATCTGGATCCAGACAGCACATCACAGCAGCTCAGTATGAACTTACCGTTACACGGCTACCCACCTAAACATGTAACTCAGGTCTATAATGATGCAAAACATATATCTCAGCATGATGTACACTGCTAAAATTATTTTAACAGCTCAGCTAAGGCAAGTTTATAATAGATCAGCCAAAATCTCAGCATTTTAAATCAATTAATAGTAGTTACAGCTTAGAAAATAGCTTTTATCCAATAGATCTAACAAAATCATATCAAAACATCTTGAAATAGTATATTAAACCATTCAAAACGTAGTTCATAGGCTAAAGTAAGCCCCCTTACCTCAGAACGATGATTCAAGATCTACTAAATATTACTTGTTTTATAGCAAGATTCATCAAAAATTTAGCTTTAGAACGGAGTTTCTCCTAAGAACACCATGAACTTTTATGAGAAAGAGAAGGAGAAGAGAAACGAATGGTAAATCTAACTTCAAACTTAAAGAAACTTATTTTAAATCCCTTAGAATGGACCCAAAATCATAGATCTGGAGAGAAATCTAAGTATAAGAAGGTTTAGTATGAGAGAAAATGGTAGTATATGGCCTTAGAACCTTTGAGAACCTTGCATAGGAGTAAAGAAATGAAAATTTCATGTGGAGTCCCCTTTTCATAGAAAATTTTCAAAATTTACTGTTAATCGCCGGAAATACTGTTCACTGCCTTACTATTCATGCCAGAAACACTGTTTAGGATACTATTAACACTGGAAACACTGTACACACGTACTGTATGTGCATGTGACGTCACTGATGACATCAGCAGTCACTATACATACGCGGTTTGTACGCAGTTTTACTGTTCATAGGCGTTTTTATTGTTGATTGACACTATTGATACGGTACTGTTAACTTTTTTTAAAAAAATAATTTTAAACTCTATCTAAATCTATTCCAATACCAAATAATCCTTCAATTAACATTTAACAAATATAAAATATTATAGATTACTCAATAATAAATCACAAGCCTGATAGAAGTTTCATAGAGCTTTGAACCACTGCCAAGAACTATGATGTGCCATCGCTCCTCCTTTTCTTCCTCTTCCATTTTTCTTCTATGCATTTTTATCTTTCTTATCATTGTCGTTGCCCTCACCCTATGTTGCCCTCACTCTATTTCCAAAAGCCAAAATCTCATCTCCCTACTTGGATTTAATGGAACCCCAAATCCCCCTTTCTGAAAAGCCATGTTTTCTTATTGCTGATAAGGTGAAAGAAGAGGTCATCAGGCCCGCTGGATGAAACGCACCTTATTTAAGATATATACATGTTAAATATTGAAATTAATCAGGTTAATTTCTAATAAAAACTAGACTTGTCAAATTAAAATTTTATATCTTAAATTTATTTTCATTTTTAGTTATTTCTTATACAAACTTTTTATTTTACTAATTTCTTTTTTTTACTGTAATATGCAAAGTTGTAAAAGAAAAAAGGAAGGATTCTGAATTTACAAAAGTTTTAAAATAATGCATGTGTTCTTCTTTTATTTTTAGTCTAATTTTTTTGTTCTTTTGTTATTATTATTGTTGTTTAAATTAATTTTTATCATGACACTAAATTTTTAAATAAACTATGAAAATTAAATTTTTATTTTTACAATATTTTATTCTTTCTATCTTAACTATTTATTTATCTTGTCTATTTTGTTGATTTTATTGCCTGAATTTATATTTTATGTCATGATTAGTGAATTATATTATATTTAAAATCATATAATATATAATAAAGAAGTAAATAAATGAAATATTTACATTAGCTTATAGTATGACGTATAACTTCTTTATCACCATGCTTTATAAATTAATGAGACCTATGTATACCTACGTTATCATAGGTCTTATTTTAAATAAATCTATCATATCATAAATCTAATTAATCAAGTAATTGCTATATTAACTAACCAAATATATTTAATTAAATATCTCTGTTATTAATAAGTTAAGTTAAAACAAAATTATTTATTAATGTAACAAGTTAATAACGTCATTGTGTAGCAACTCTACCTTTACCCGTTATAAATTATTGAAACTTATGTATATTTACGTATCTTAAGTTTCACATAATATATAAATATTTTCTAAAAAATAAAACACTTTCAATTCATTAGATACCCACTTTATTAACCAAAACATATTATTATAAATACAGGTTTATTTTATATTAAATCTTCAATTTTTCTTTATTAAATAATAATATACAACTCATTAATTAAATTAAAATCATATAAATTCAGCGGTTTATAATGCTATCGTGTGATAAATCTACCTTTATGTTTATAAATTGTCAAGACATATGTACACCTACATTATCTTATGTCGTATGTACTATCAATGTATCTAAAAAATCTTACTTCTAAATTAATAAATTATATATTTATTTTATTTAATTTTACATATGTCAAAATCTTTTTCATTCATATTTTTAAATAATATAAGAATTCATTCTAAAAAAGAAATGACATGTATATCTGTTTAATTATATAATTTGTTAATCAATTAAAATATGTTTTTCTTTTATCTCATCTCATTAGTTAATCAAAATATGTGATGTTTTTATAAAATTAAAATTGACTTATTTAATTAACGCAATGATATATAATGTTAACGTGTAGCATCTCTACCTTTATGCATTATAAATCATTAAGTTAATGTGTACCTGCGTTAACATTAACTTCATGCAATACAAATTTGTTAAGTGATAGTTTACTAATTATTTTATCTTTCTAAATTATATCCTTTCAAATAATTTTATTTTAATCCGCAAAGGATTGATTTATTAATTAATGATGATAATAATCTTGTCGATACAGTAATCTATAAATTGATTAATCTAAATAGAAATTAATTTATTCAATTCAGTAGTTTATAACGTTATTGTGTAGCGTCTCTATTTTTATATGTTTTTAATCGTTGAGACTTTTGTATACCAATGTTATCTCGATCTCATACAATATAAAATTGTTAGGAATATATTTTAACTTTCCTAGATTAAACATCTTTCTTTGCTAATTAATTTAAATATATTACTTTGTTCTCTTTAAATATTTTTCATTAACTAAAAGTAATTTCATATTTAAAAATTTTAAATCATGTTTCTAACTTTAATAAATTAAATAACTAAACATTTGATTGTTTAAGTATACTTCTCTATTTTATTATATAATGCTTTACGACATAGATGTGTAATTTACATTGTCTTCGATCGACAAATAAATCATGAGAAATTCATGTATAGCTTACACTATCTTAAATTTCTTCAAATATTAAATTTTTTTAATTAAATTATATATTAAAAATACTTTTTTGTGAATTAAAATATTAGATTTTAAATACAATAGTTTTTACAACGACTTACAATAGGATGTGTGATTTCCTTTTTACTTTCGTATTGTTTCTCGTAGGGTATATGTATAACCACGTTATCTTGTATTATAAACATTATAATTTTATAAAACTAATTTTAATTTCAAAAGTAAATTTTCTTTTTACGAAACTTAATTTTAATCAACCAATTTCATAATTTTTATATAGAACAACGTGACTTTAAGTTCTCCATTACACCTAGAGATACGTAGGAGTAGAATCATATCCGTCGAGTCAAAACAATTTTTTAAAAAATATTTTTTCCTTTCTAAGATATAACTTAACATTTTTAATAAATAAATCTTATTTCTTTAAAAGTAAAAGTAGGAACATTCGTTTTTTAAAAGGGTTAAATAGAGGCTTTTCAAAATTATCATAAATTTGCATGATTAATTTAAGGTAACCATTATTTAAATGAACGTTGTAGGGTGCTAAAACCTTCCCTGCACGTAAAGAACTCCCGAATCTATTTTTGGTTTCAAAGATCAAAATTTTAAGTTTTTCTAAGGTTTTCTTTAATAAACCTCGGTGGCGACTATACTGATTTTTCATAAAAACGTTTTCACCG